TATGATTTTTTAAAAAGCTTTGTCTACTATAAAGTATTTTTTTGATTGAAAGCACAATCTGTTTCTGAAATTAGAGGATTGTGTTTTGTATACTTCTAATAATGTCACCACTTCTAATCAGCATTGGAATATGACTTGTACATTGCTGACGGTTAAAAAGCATTATTAGTATTGGTTGGAGGTGGCACTTTTACTTTATTAAAGTTATCAACAAAATTCCCCAGTTGCTTTTCAGTTATATATTCAAGGTCAAGGAGGTTATATATGATTAAAAATTAACAATTTATGTTTTGAATGAGAACCCAGTTTATGTAGAGTTATAAGGAACATTGTCAGGTAGAAATCTTCCACTATCTAAAACCAGATAACACTCGATACAACTAAATTTATTTTTATCTAAAGCCAGATAAAACTAGATAAAACTAAATTTTATCTAAAACTAGATAAAGAGAAGCAATAATGCTAATAAAATTATGAAATTATGACATTCAGCTTCTACCAGACAAAGGTTGATTCTTGATAAGATTTAGTAGGGATTGCAGTGATCCAAAGTAGAAGACCATTTCCATAAGTAATACAACTGTTTTCTATTTTCCACACAACCACCATCCTGTGAGTTGAATTGGGCTGAATGACTGGCCCAAAGTCACTCGGTTAATACCTAAGGCAGGTTTAGAATTTAACAGTTTCTCAGTTTGACTCCTTTATTGTTTTTCATAAAACCATAGGTATGAGGTATAAATTGAGTTGTTCATGTTTTTGCTGCAAAAAGATACAACTTAAGCCAAGCATTTTAGCTGCATACACAGTGCTCCATCTATCCTTTTCTTGACATAGAGTTCCCCATCTGATCCCTTAAGATAGCAAAAACACTGGTACACATGGCCATTTCATTTACTATTTACTTGTCATCCATGTTATACATGGATTTTCTGTGCAGGAGACAACTACGGAATATAACTGCTACCTGGCTTTGCTTGTATTGCACTGAAATATTTCATTGTCTGCCTGGGCAACCTGCTGTTAGAAAGCTAGGCTGCTGTGTTTAATGCAACTTTCAAGTTTGAAAAAGCAGTAAGTAAGAACATTGATTCTTCCTGGAGACTTTGCTGTTGCAAAGACTTTGCTGTTGCTGATGTTCTAGTTAACAAAAAATTGAATTTTCTTCTTGATAAAACAAAGGCATGTGCTTTCTTATTGATTTATGTCATTGAAAGTGACCCCTGGAAGATAAAATGTGTGTTCTTTCCATAAACCAGCTATAGAAAGTATTCATTTCAGTATGGTTAGGTTGTGGAGGTTTCAGGAGAGAATTAGTGTTTGAATTGTGAGCAATTTCCTGACAAGTAGGATTTCTCTAAAGAGTTTGTTTCTGTTTTTAGAGTGTACAGTATAGGATGCTGCAGTTGTCTGATTTCTGGGACCATTTTGTTAGTACAATTCAAAGCAATTATTTAGGTCTTTCAGTTGGGTTTCAGACTAGAATTCAGTACTGAGACAGCCTTGATGGCACATGTTGATGATCTATGCGGAACCCAATGGAAGGGGGTTTTACACTTTCAGTATCCTTCAATACTATTGATTGTAGAATCCTTTTGGATTGGCTGTGGGAGTTGGGAATTAGGGGTTGTGCTGGCAATTGAAACCATTCTTTTATGGTGATTCTTGTCTTTTCTTCATGACCAATTCCGGCTGGTGTTGGCAAAGGGGAGAGAGATTGGCCTCCAGGTTATGTGGAGTTCTGCAGGATTCAGTGCTCCATTCCTTCCTGTATTATTTTTGATTCATTTGATTAGTCAGGGAATAGTAGTACAGCTGAGCATGTGTGAAAATTTGTGTTTAATTGGGTTACAAAAATCGAATATTTTTATTGTTATTGTTGTTCTTTCTGGTTATCTTTCATAAAATGATTCAGTATTTGTAGAATATTCCATTATTGGAGTATTCAAATACGATTGGATTTTAGCTTTAAAGTTTTATGAATATCCTCTATCCTGTTTCTTCTTGTCCGCTGTTTAGAGGAGAGATCAGAGAATATGGACATCTTATTTAGGAGTTATAAAAATAGAAATGTTTAATAGTTGCTCCTTTCATTCAACTGCATGCGACAAATGTCTAATCAGTTGTTGCAAAATTATACTCCCTGTTCTTGGAGTTATTGAAAGAAAGTTAAGAAAAAGTAGTTACAACTTACAAAAAAATATCAGCTGTGCTTAGAACTGAATTTGGCTGGTTTCCACCCATTTTTTAAAAGTATAAAATATTCTTTTATTATCAAAACTATCCATATATTCGTTCTCACTTGTCTTTCTTTGTACAGTATTTATTTTATTGCAGAGAAACTAAGTAAAAAATTTCTGGATCTATGCAGCAGGGCTAATCCTGAAATAGTATTGTATCAATTCAAATAAAACTGTCTGGGTCTCATGGGAATTGACTCAAATGCAGTAGGCAAGATTTTTTTTTTGTCCTTTTGCAATTCTGTGATAAAATTAGTGTTATCACTTGACAGACCCCGTCTACATCATATGCACATCAATAGTTTTGCATAATAGGACAATTTTAAGTGATGTTTACCAAAGGGGCTTTATCCCATCAAAAAGCTTGTGTATGACTGTGCCCCAGATCTTGTGCTAAGTCATGGGATCCAAAATATATTTAAAGGTTGAAGGTATTGTTATAAATAATTGGGCGGTTAGCCATTTAGTTCAACTTTAAAGCATTTGATTAAAAATAGCAAAACCCCACAGGTGTCTTTTTATGATAATAAAGGAAATGTGAACTTATAAAAATAATCATTATTGTAATGGCTAATTTCTCAATAATATATCATTGCAGTTTACCTGAAAAACTGTTCAATTTCTACAGAACACTTGTGTTTAGACAACAACTTTGTCACCTTTATATATAATGCAGGAGCGAACGGCATTTAGGATAATGTGCAAGAATCTCAACATTAATGTTTATGGTATTTTAACATTTTTTCATTTACTCATTTCTAATTAATCTTCCACCAAGATTCACCAATTCATCTACTGGTTCTAACTTTTTTGCCATTATTGTTTAACTTGGAATTGTTTAGTACATTTTCCCTGTCAAAGTAGTCAATTTTTGATGCATTAATTTAATATCCATACTCCTTGATTTATCATGTAATACAGGAGTCCCCAACCCCTGGGCCATCCACTGGTACTGGTCCATGGCCTGTTAGGAACTGGGCCACACAATAAACTTGTGCATGTGAGGGATCTAGGTTGTGTGTGCCTTCTCTCCGCCCCCACTCCGTGGAAAAATTGTTTGCCACAAAACCGGTCCTTGGTGCCAAAAAGGTTGGGGACCAGTAATATAATATAGTAGATTTAACAGTTGTTTTGAATAATTTGAATTCTTAGTCAACAACACATCACCAGCACGTAAAAGTAGATAGTTCACATTCACATCCCCAAAGAGCATACCTCCATCATGACCACAAGTATTATTTTCATGTTTATCCATAAAGTAACATTTCTTCCCATGCATGCTCTACTTCCAGCATGCTTGCTTACCTTATTCAGCAACCAAACGTAATCTCCACATTCTCACTTAACACTTAATAATTCTAACATACAGTATTCACTTTATCAAAAACTTTCTTTAATCAACAAATGTGCAAGAAACTTTCTCAAAACTTTCAGTGACTTGCTAAAGAGCAAACAATCTGTGTAGTCCTTGCTATGTTGCACTTCCCAACTTCTGCTCACCGTCAGCTCTTCTTCCTGTCAAATCAAAATTATGCCAAGTATCTTAAAGCAGGAATGACTCAATTATATACTACATAGAGCTCTTCTAAAATGTATAGACAGTCCTCAACTTATAACCATTGATTTATCGACCATTACATTTGGTCCTCACCATTACGACCACTGAAGCATCCCCCCCATGATGTGTTCAAAATGTTGGCATCAACACGTCAAAATGCTGGCATGTATGTATGCGTACCGACAATTGCAGCATTCCAGAGACATATAATCACCATTTCTGACCTTCCTGTCTAGCTTCCGACAAGCAAAGTTAATGAGAGCTGGATTTGCTTAACAATTACATGATTCACTTAAGAACTATGGCAAAAAAAGGTTATAAAATCCGGCCCAACTTCTCTTATACTATCATTCATTTTTATAAAAATGTATTAAAAGCTTACATTAAAAAAAATCTGCCAAGTACTTTTAGAGATATAGTTAACAGATTAGCCCATCTACAGGGTTCTTTAAAATTTATTCTTGCTACATTTCCCTATTTTATAGGGAAATAATATAATAACTATATTCTTCCAATAATTGAGGACAGAGACTCACTTTACATACATGCTATACAAGTTGCACAGATGCTTCACAAGGAAAGCACATTCCTATATTAACATTTCTTCTCCTATGTTAACTGTGTCCATCCTTTCAACATGCTTATTATAGTATGTATGGTTTCCTTTTCTTGGACAATAACACATCATTCATTTCAGTTCCATTCTCTAGCATATCACAGTCATTCCCATGCAGGCCTCTGAAATTAGTACTTTTAGCTTTCCCTCTGTTCAACTTCATCCCAACTCATTTCATTAGTTTTATTTTTAATTCCATGTACTTTGCTGGAGGCTCCCTATTTGACTTGTTTCAATGGATTCCTGCTTTCGTAGACATCCATTATTATCTGGATGAGAGCAGTTCCTACTTTATGACAAATGTTTTTGTTTGTAATTAAATCTGTTTCACTTTATATGTATTAATCACTTCATTCAGTGGCAGCAAAGAAAGTCAACAGATTGAGACTTTTTTTGTTTAGTAGTCCGCTGGATGTTTGTTGATGCTTTGTTAATGCAATAAAGATTCCAGAAAAGAGACTTCTTTCCATCCAAATGCGTATTCCTGAGGGCTATGGCTTTTGGTACCTGTAAAAAGAAAAGATGCTAGGTAGGTTTACATAACATTAGGAGTGACATGTTTATCATTATCGACTTTGTTTTTCAGAACTAGCCCATTCGTCACCGCCTCTTGCTGGAGAAAATAAGAACTTCTTTTCAGGAAGAGCCTTGATCTCATGAACGAATCAACAGATCTTGGGAATGCAAGCGCTCTGGAGCCAGTTATACGGCTCAGGAAGGGACACATGCCCAATTCTGCTGGGCAAGAATATGTTCATAGCGACAAGTCCAGTGAGCAGGAACCCCTCTTAGTAGAACCATCAGCATCATCTGAAAAGGTAAACGTGAATAATTGTTAGACTGAAATTTGGTCACAAAGACAGACTTCCTTGAATTATGTGTTTCCTTGAATTAGTGATTACAATTGTACAAATTAATCTGAAAGGTGGTTTTCTAGAGTACCTTAAAAACAATTATGGTCCTGTTTTAATAGACTTGATTCTGGAGCTGCAGTCAATGGTCATATTGCCTTCTAGTGTGGCTGAAGTTTTTTAGCTGTTTTGAAGGCCAATCCTGTGTAATCAGTTTTATTTTTGTTAATATGTTTACCAGGGCAGACAATAAAAAGTGAAGTTGTAGAAAAATGACATATCGATGTATTACCCACACTGGATTTAAGCCTCTTTTCTATAGGCTGTTGTTTGAAAATTCAGGATAAATATTAGATCCAAGACTACTGAATTGTATCTCCACCTATAACCTAAGTTGGGTATCAAACTCGATTTTATTGAGGGCCACATCAGGGTTGTGTTTGTCCTTGGGGGCCCAGGGTGGGCATGGCCAGCTCGACCTCACGTATGTCAGGGGCACCTGTGGTGGCCCGAGCTCTCTGCCAGCAAAAACGGGCTCCCGAGCTCAGTTTTCGGCTGTGACAGCTTTCTGCAACCTTCTGCCAGCAAAAACAGAGCTTGGGATGGCTGCCCACAGCCCTTCCAAGTTCTGTTTGCACTGGGAGAGGCACTGTGGGCCAGTCCTTTGCTGTTTCTAGGGTAGCCCCGCGGGGCAGATCTAAGCAGTGTGTGGACTGGATATGGCCCCCAGCCCTTGAGTTTGACACCCCTATCCTAAGTTGCATCTGCACTCACCTTTCTGTAGCATTGAAACAAAACAAGAAAGCAATAACTATCCTAATGAACTTACTTTGTAGTTCTTAATACAAGGTATTGCACCTAATTGACATAGAAGCTGTTGGAAAAGGTGTTTATATTATCATTTAGATCTTTAGGGTTTTCATTGACAGTTAACGCCATAATGTTAAATAATCTGCCATGTTTTGGAGCCCTTTAAAAGATTTGCCAAGAATACCCTTTCCCCAAAACATTGTAAGAACAGTCAGAGAAACAAAGCATCTAGAGTATTGATACTGATCAGGTTTTAAAATTGTTTGAGACTAAATCTGTTTAACTGAGAGCTAATCTCTATTAAATTGAGAGAGAACGAAATTTTGGACAGGCAATGAGAAGACTCATGTTCAAGTCCTGCCTTAGACGTTCATTGGAAATGGGAGAAAGAAAATTGTATTTGCCAAGCTAGAGTTTTAATGTGTTAATACAAACGCTTTCTAACTATAGTGTTAAAGGCAATCCTGTTTCCTGTTATTTAATAAGGAGAGTTTAAAAGACTCCTACTTTAAACATCATCTCCTCTCTGCTCCTCTGTTGCACAAATGTATTTTGAAATATGGTGGGATTGTACTTGACTAACTGTCCTAAATACAGCATTATTTGACAAATGACATTGTCTTCTGATCACTGTTTATTCAGTATTCACATACTTCTTTTAGCTTATTGGCAATGTGAAGAAAAAGATATTGAGGCTAAGGAATGCAGCAATTCTGAGCATAGGTCTCTGGAGGAGAGAGAGAAAAAAAAACAAAAAAAAATGCAAATTGCTCTTATATTTGAAACTTTAAATAACTTTGAAAAGGTTCTTTAAATCCAAAAAATTATGAAGCCCTACAGGAAAAGCGGCAAGCAAGATATTCTGTTGAATTAAAAACTCTCACTTATTTTCCTGCTCTCAGCAGCACAATCCGTACTTATCAACTGAATTTGCTCACGGTTGCAAAATGGAAACGGCAGATGATAGACTTAGATTTCTAAACAAGAAAAATCAAATAGGGCCAGGATTTAAAAAAAAGAAGGAACACCCATTTTCATCTTGCCAAAGAGAGCTAGTGGGTGAACGTGGGAGGGAGACAGGAAGTGAATGGAGAAGTTGCCTCAGATTCAGAACTCATACTGTTAGTCATGCAATCCAAGTTAGATTATGCCCTCTTGTTGAAATTCCACGTATTGCTGCTCTGGAGCTTCTCCGTTTGCACTCGGAAAGCAAGTGTATGTTTTCAGTGTGGTTTCCAGTGGGGCTTCATAAGTCAGGAAAGGATGAAATCCAGTTGGCTGGAGACTAGCAAAGCATTAGGTTGAAGTGAAGATATGGTTGAGAGAAAATTCCAATTCTGTCCACATCATTGAAGGAAATCATAGGATCAAGTCCCTGGTTTTGCTTTAGTGCCACAAGCCTCTACCTATTTTAAAAGTCATTTAGAAAAACAAAGAAAAACAAAGAGCTGCTTTGTGTACTATGAAGAGAAGAAAATATTGCTGGCTGGCTGACTTCAAGTTCATGGATCTGCATACAGACTCTATGCCTTAAAGTGCACTGCTAGTTAAATTATGTATCTCAAAATGGCTACTGCTCAAAAACTGTAGTGCAGTATTACTAAGGTTTATATGTGGACTTTAGTCCCAATCAGTCCTGTCATAAAAATAGGCTGTTTATTTGGAAAACATATAGTGTAGATATTTCTCTGTCCCCATTTATATTAAAACGTTTGATTAGAAACAGCTTATGAATAAAAATATAAGAAACTAGTACTGACTGTGTTTATAGAAAATACATGATCATAAAGAGGACATTGGATCCATTTTCTAAAACCTTCAGTGGTAATGAATCTATTAGTGATCTTGATGCATTGCCTCATGTGTTCTTTCAGACAGGATGATAAAGCTGGATTGGATATTCTTTTAATGTTTAAATGCTCCAGAAAACGCTTTTCTAAAAGAAGTAATAATGCCATTTACTTATGGCATCTCGGAACATGAAAATGCATCAGGTTTAACTTACATGTCGATTTTCTTTTTTAACGGGATAAACGACTTTTGAAATTTGCAGTGTGTACTTAATATTTTTTAATCAGTAAAACTTACTAGGTGATAAGTATTCAAGAAATGGGAAGGGCAGAATTAGGTATAACAGTGTTTTCAAACTTGGCAACTTTAAGATTGTGAACATGAACTCCTAGAATTCCACATGCTAGCTGGGGAATTCTGGGAGTCAAAGTCTACACACCTTTAAAGTTGCCAAATATGAAAAGGACTAATGAATAATGTATTGAGGGTGATATTAGTTTTTCTATTCCAGTAGAGGTTAAAGATCTACTATATATAAATAGGAACAAATCTAAATTACTGCCTATTGCTTTGGAAAACAGTATGTTTGGTCCTGGATTCCTCTGAGTGCTTTCATTTTTTTTTTTTTTAGTTTGCATTTGTAGGGAGAATATTTTGTGGCACATTTGAAATTACATTACTTGCTGTCCAGAACCATATGGATTGGGTGGGGTTATAGGCAGTTTTTAAAATAAATGAATAAATATTCAAGTCCCCCCCCCCCCATCAATATTGCTGCTTTGTTCTCTGTGTTGGAGCTGTCTATCCTTCCTTCCTTCCTTTATCTCTCTCTGCCCTTTGCTCTTGAATGCTCGGAGTGTCTTTGTTTCCTCTGCTGTTTTTTCAGTTACTGATATCGCCTAAACAAATGCCTCTTACTGTGGTTTTTGTTAAACTGGCACAATCAAATGCATGTGACTTTTATCACCTGATGAATGGGCTTTTTATGTACAGCTCTGAAAACCTGCACTTGACTCTCTCCTTTTTCCCCCTCCTCTTTATAATCCTCCAGTGGCAAAAAGGAACAAAAGGCTGTTTTCTTCTTTCTCTTTTTTTCCAGCCACCCTAGCTTTTTGCTCTTGATGGATGGTGGGTTTTGTCTAAAAGGCCTGCTGCATCTGTGGTGTTCTGTGCATTTTTAGTGTGTGGCCTAGAAGCGTAACTGTGAAATTTTGGATCCGTTGCGCTGAGGCCTTCGGTACTGTGTAAAGAATAACGAACCATGGCACTTGACTCTTCCTCATGGCAAAAGCCCAGCTGGAACATTTGTTAGACAACCTGGGCCTTGGTGACTTCTGAATTCAGCTGTTTGACCTTTTGAAAAGGATCTGTCACTAAACCTGCTTTGAAAGTTTTTAAAAAAATGCTTTTTAGTAAAAAGAAAAGAGTAAAAATGAGAAAGAAGACATACAACAGTAACAAAGAAAAATTAAGCTAAAATGTTAAAAAGCATAAAATATTTAATTTTTTTAAATAAAGTTTTATTTGGGTTTTCACACATACAAAATACAAGTAAAACATCTTTTTTGAAAATAGCATGGTCCCGGGTTGAACTTCTTTATACAGAAACAAAACTCAATTTCATGCTCCTTTTTGTGTTCTATTCCATATCTTATACTATTCTACATTTTCTATATAGTTTTTCCCCTCTTTTAATTTTCTCAATTTTATTTTGATTATCAATTCAAATCATTATATTTATACTTTTGTCTGTTCTGTTTCAATTTCATATTATCTTTTCTCATTAAACAAATTTTCTCCTGTAGTTACTAATTGGAGAATGACACCTTTATATCTTTTAATTACATCCATTCAACTCTTATTTAAACTTCAATATATACCTTAAGGTTATGACCTTCAATATATACATAATACATAACTTCCAATCGAATTCTGCTTGGTACGTTCTTATAATACACACTATATTCTTTAAAAAAAAGATTATAAATATATGTAATTATAAACCCTCATTCCATTCCAATTCAGTTCTATCATTAATAATCATTAAAATCTTAACATCTTTAACACTTCTTTTCAATTAAATATCATACTTCCTTAAAGACACATATAATCTCCATAATTAATTTTTCCCTTATTTCTCTTCAACATGTTTTGTAAATCATTAAATATTCATTTTGTTACATTTATTTATTGACAAGCATTCCACTGAATTACGATAGCTATTTTATCAAACATTTTAATCATACATTGTTTCATATTTTCTAAAATTATTTGTTTCTAATATAACAATACTATCTTATGTACCTTTGCAGAATCCCTTTTTCAATTAAATTTACACCCATTATCTCTAAATAGGCCCTGTTTCT